GTGATAAAAAACATTTATTAATGATTCAACAGAAGTTTGTAGCTTGTAAAATCTTCTATTTATTTTATGTTTCAAGAATGATTTTTTTTTTTAATTCTATTGTAAATTTTAAGTTATTTACTTAAAAAAAAGTAGAAATTTTATTTTCAATCTATAATATTAATTAGATTTGTTGTCGATAAACTTTTAGTTGGAAAACTGAACCATTTACATTATTTAACTTAATATTAATTATGGTTTAGATGTATGTGATAAAAAATTCTTGTAATTAGATAATAAAACTCCATTAAACAAAAAAATCAAAAATATGAATATTATATAATCATACATTTTATAAATTTGTTATTTTTTTCAATATTCGAATATATCCTACTATCTATTATTCAGTGGCGGAATTTCAAACTATTATTCGGCCCCCTAAATCGCTTCGAATTTTGTAAGTAGTGACGTGTGGCTTTATAAGATCTATGCAAATGTGGAGCACTTAGACAAAGTTGCACTTTGTATTTTTTTTTTAATTTGAGCTCTAAACCAATGTTTCTCAAACTTTTAGGTTCTTGCCCTTAAATATGGCAAAACGCAGAAAAACATCCCGTCTGTCATCAATTTTTTTGCGACTCCCCCCCCACAATGGTCACTTTGAGAATCACTGCTCTAAACAACAGTTAATAAATTGATGACGTGGGCCCTAGATATTTGAGGGCCCTAAACATTTGTTTAGTTGGGCCCTCGCATTGCGGTGTTCGGGACATTACAAATGGTATGATTACGAATTTGAATTGCAAAAGTTATTGCGTCAATAAATTATATATTTTTTTAGTAAACTCTAGTTACTATTTCAGTGTCTCAATAAAATAAAGTTCTTCATCCTGTGAGAGAGAAAAAAAACAATATTTTTTAGTTCATTTGGTTTAGTTTAGTAACAATATGCATTTGTTGGCAATCTTCCAGAAGATTATTCTACCATGAGTGCGGTATTAAGGGTTGTTGCCAAAAACAATAATTTATATATATATATGTTAATATTAAACATAATTTATTTATAATTATTGTGGTAAACATAAATCATTCAAAACTACTTAACATGCCTTCAAATAATACAATCTAGTTTTAAAAATTGTACTAGTTTATACTTGTCTATTAATCTACATATTTTTATACTAAAATTTCCTCATCGTTAAATCTAGGTAAACATAAGTAAAACTTTAATTTATTGCAAAAAAAACTACGTATTTTGAAGCTAACATTTCCTTACTTTAGTTCAATGTTATTATATAGAAATCAATACAAAATTGAAACGTGTGCATGTAAAACTTTAAATATAGAATGTTGAAGAAATGATATAAATCAAATTGTTTTCATAAACTTTGAAATTTTAATAAACTTATATAAAATGTTTCAAAGTTTAGTTTAATAACAATATGAACATGTTGGCTGTTTTCCATAAGATTAAGGCTAGCTGCCAAAACAATAATTTAGGTTACATCTAACTTAATTTTTTTGTTTGAGCAGATTATAATACCTTTATATTTTCTTCAAATTTAAATGTTAATTTTCTTTTTAATCTTAAATAATAAAACCTAAAAATGTAAATAAAAAATAAATACAAAAAACTTCTGATTAATTGAATTTTTAGCCAAATATAAATTCTTTCATTTATGTGAATTACTGAATTTAGAATAAGTACCGTTTTCATACAATAAACTCAAATTTAAAAATAACAATAACAAGTGTGAATACTTAAATTAAAGATAAATATACAGATTTTAATTTAAATGTACAACGAGATTTGTAGCTATTACCATTTTCCTGAGAACTCTGGTATACGCAAACACATCGATCGTTTGCGTTCGTGTACACATTTTAATATGAATGTCCGTACAAAGAGTCATCAGTCAGAATCGGGTTTTGCTTAAATGTTCACTTAATATTTGAGCGTTGTTTTTCCTCCGATAGGCAGTAAATTACTCCGTTTTTGGAAGCAGCTCGAGCCGAGACAAATCGGCTTTGCAGAGGAGGGCCGTAATTAATTGTGCTTTATCTGAGAGGATAGTAGAAAACGGACATTAATCGTCCCTTAAATAACAAATCAGCTTTAAATATGATCCAAGAAAATTTGTAAGATAACAGGGACATTCCACGTTCACATTGCTCAAATAAATTCCTGCAAGTCGCAAGGACTTTCCGATGCTACATCATAGATAATATGGTAATGAGAAACTATAATTGGAATTGGAACAGACAGTTTAGCTGCAGGATGTGTATTTAAGTGGGTGGAATGACCGTTTCCAAGAGCACACATATATATAATATATATAGTTATATTATATATATATGTATGTATCCAGCGGCCATACATTCGGTTTATCAGGATAAGGTCGGAATATATCAGGTGTATGCATAAGGTAAATTCTGGTCTGCATGATATGAGTGTCCTCTGGTGTTGGGGGACGTATAGGGATGGATATCCTCTCACGATCTGCTAATATCAGCCCCTAGGATATAGCCTAAGCCTCTCGACGCATACCACATGCACGGTTTTGCATTAATGACCGTCTAACATCACACATTCTATCGATAATCCTGTGCACTATATGGACTGGATATTTAAGGTCCGGTCCCTTTTGGTATCGATTCCCGCTACTTTTCGGCCGATTACGAAGAGGAAATGGAAAGACATACAGACAGACATACACATATATACGATAAAAATAAACTTTTATGTGGAAGGCTATTAGTTCCTCGGACTTAAAAAGGCTTTCCTTACATTATTCCGTTAAAAGCTTTAACAAATTGATTTTAAAGTGAAGTAAATTGCGCAAAGCCGAAGCCATTTATCTGCAAAAGCTTTCAAACTTATGGAAATAATCGTATTCAAACGCTTGTATCCAATCATAGTTGTTGTTCAATAACGGTTGTATAAATAAAATATTGTAGCATTCGCTTAAACTGATTGAGTTCTATAATAAATAAATAAAAAACGTAGCAAGAAACATATTTGTACAGCATACATAAAATAAATTTATATTATCAAATTTACAATCAGAATTTCTTGGCTGAATTCCAGAACATACTGTAAATAACACAGAATTTCACAAGTGTTAACTTAAATTTAACAAAATAATTACAAAACATTTTTGTAATTCCAAAAAGTACATTCATTACAATTTTTTACTAACACTGGTTGATTTTTTTCAATAAATTAAAAAATAGAACATCTTGGTACAAAATTACCTTAGATAAATTTAATAATTTTATAACTTCGGCTATAATTATTTCCAGAAGATACATTAAATTAGAAGTTATATAATATGTAGTATTTATTTAACACCTAGTGATAACTCTACAAAAACTTAAAAATTAATTTCAGTTCAAATTATACTTATTGAATTAAATTTATAGAACCCCAGAAAAAAGGGTATGTGTAGAAAAACGTAGAAAAACTTACTGTCCCGTCTGACACATCCCCGGAGGAGTCGGAATAGTTTTCATTAAAACCTTCCAAATTAACTAATATAATATAAATAAATATTAATTTAACAATAAAAACAAATAACTAAAAACATTTTTCTAATTTTAGAACCCATAAGGAAGATCAAGGGTGTTTTAAGTTTTTAGTCACTGTTACAAACAACAATTTAAATAAGTTAACCATACGTTAAAAACTTGATTTCGTTTACATTGATTGTTAAAAAATATCCGCGATAAAACAAGATGATAGTATCATTAAAGCTCAATTAAGTTCAGACACCGGAAACCGTAAACTACAATATTTCATTTTATTGCTCGTTTCGTTATATTGCTTGTTATTGGGGGCTTTCTTTAAGTATTTAAATTTCGAATAATTAAACGTCTCATTAATTTACGACTGTTAACATTGATTTATTCCATCGCTAATTTTACTCGTAACCATTTTACAGCTACTTAATGGAATTAACAAACGCTCTGAGACAATAAATAACATTTATTTAATTTGTTCTTCTCATTAACTAATCTTCTTAGCTTAATTTAATAACAAAAGTCAATTTTAAAGTGTTAAATTTATTTATAATTTTCAATTTGTCCTTATTTGCGCCATTACAAATACGTAAGTAATAATCAACTAATTGAACTAATTAATGACAGGATCTTTGCACTTGTGATGTAACGGAAATCGGTAGAATTTCAAATGAGAAGCTATAATGTTCATGCAGCTTTGTTAGAGTTATGAATATTAAATTCCGGAAGGACGAGAGTGTGAGAGATTTTATCCTGAAGTGTGATACCTGTTCATTTGTTGGAATTGGCGAAACGAAGGAGGAGGTGGATTGGCCGGAGATGACGATGAAGAAGTGGGAAGATTGGGTGGGGTAAAGGACAACCTGTTCTGAAAAGAGGACGATCGTTAAGGGAGAATCTGTTGCAATTTATTATTTCGCCGGTTCTCGAGACATCCACCTAATACATCGTCCGCCGTTTCACGGGATGAAGGGCGATATTGTTATCCCTTGTTTTCACTGAAAGCTCGCGGAACAAACGGCAGCAAAGCAACTATTTATACTGCCATCAATTCCAAAAGTCCGCTGCGATATTTTCCGCCCTTCCGGATGAGACAGGCCCTAACGTTTATACATTACCCCTGCATACGAGAGAACATTAAAATGCAGTTCCATTGAAATCAGATATATCATAAACACTGATAGCATTTCACAACTCCAACACAACTTTTATTTGAAGTTTCACATTTCAGTTATAAAACATATTTCAAATAATTTATAATAATGAAACCAATAAAATGAAACAAAGATCAAATATCAAAAACATATGTAATAAAATATATACGTTTTCAACTTTCTAAATAAATCGTTGCAATATCAATCATATAGTAAATTGATTGCTTTGTTATAGAAATTGATACGGATTTTTATTTAAAGGAAAATATACTATATTTGGAGAAAAATAAACTTTGAATGATTCAGTTCGATGTTAAACAGAATGGGATTTTGATATGAAATTCCTACCTTATAGCGTTGCTGGCATCCGAACGAAGTTGAGAACTGAACGATACTTCTTCCTCTAGCTCTTCCTCTTCCACAAACACTCACTTGCAGAGACAGCCCCTCCTGCAAAACCAAACAATCTTTTCAATTATGTATTTTTCCATCCGTGACTTCGGGTATTGCCAATATATGTTGGCCTGTATGTGTGTGTATGTTTAATCAACGGTCCTGGTTTGTGTATCAACTCAGCCTTGATTCGCAATTCTATTTGCACCCCGTTTTTCGCTTTCAATCAATTTGTCCTGTCCTCTAGCAGAATACTGTATATATACAATACACATGCACATACGAGGACGTTGAAAAAGTTGCGTTAATTACAAAACCTAACCCCCCAAACTCGAACAACCCCCTTTTTTTACACAGACACAGAGGGCGACACCCCGTCCACACTTTCGCTAGATTTTGCAATTCAAAGTGAGCCCCCCCTTGAAACTCGCATAGCGTGGAATTGCCAATGACAATTTAGTGCCCCGGGCGGCGGCGGCGGATTCGGATTAAACCGGAAAATAAATACCCAACAAAGAATAAATAAATAACACGGCGGAAGAAGCCCCCCATTTATCGCGTCACCAAAGAAAACGGAGGCGAACCTTTGTCCGTACTTAATCCCGAGCTTTATGAGTTAATCCGGATAATAATTTGCCCGACCGTTCTCTATACCATCGATTGTTCTTTAGAACAAAAGCGAATCATTCTTTCGCTCTAATAACTGCACCAGTTTGCTATCCAACTTGTTTACTGTCCTCACGATCATTCCTCCTTTTGCCGGTAGAAACTCGCACAACCCTTCCATTATTTCATATCAATAACTTATTGAAAACACATTTCATCCCATTCCGTATTGATTTAATTCCATTACACCACTCAAACATATTAGTTGAAATTCTACATCATAACATGAAAAAATGGAATACCTAATGTTACATGAAATACAGTTAGTTGCCAACTACTATTTATCATCATGGAACACCTACAGATATAATCCACCATTACCTATAACAACTACATCTTAAATTATGTAATTGTAATCGGTGTATTAATATTAACTATGTACCAGAATAATTCAAACTGCACATCGTCACATCAATGTTAATAAATAAATTAAGTGGATGTTACATATTTTTATTGTTTATTGATGTGATGTGAGATTTTTCCTAACATATCCTAACCTAACCTTCCCTCACTAACCATACCTAATTAAATCTTCTCTACTCCCAGTGAATCCAAAGCTAACCTAACCTAACTTAGCTTACGTCCTCCAACTAGTCAATTCCTAGTGTAACCTCCTCTATATTGTGTACCCATTTGTGATCCAACCATCTACCATACACTTCTACTTCTAAAGAAACATAACCTACCTCAACCCAACTTAAGATAACCTTACATAACCTAACTTAATCATAACATAACTTACTCATAACTACATAAACCTAGTCAGTAGTAATATATCATTTTGTAGATTATATATTCTTTTTTTTTTCAAGTAACCAACATGTTTAGGACTAGTGTACAAGTAATTGTAATTAAGAGTAGATTTGTTTGTGTCTTCTAATTATAAAATTTAAAATATGTTTGTATCTAAGTTTTGATGTTCCTACTGCTACTATTCTATAGAATGATACAATCCTAGATGAAATAATCTCGAGCAGAATATGAAATAATTGATAGACGTTGTAGGATTCATTAAAATGAGAATTCAATGCTGTGCAATTGTGCATGTGCCCGTATCCTTTATTTTTTCCCAATGCAATACGAGGGGACAATGGAAAACAGAGCAAAATGCAAAAGTAGCTACAGAAACAAAAAACGCAAACAAATGCAGCGTGAATTAGTAGGAAATAAATAACAATTGTTTTTTGGTTCCGGCAGTGGGAATGGAAACGGCAAAACAGAACTTTGAATCCTTGAGTTTGGCAAAATAGACTAGGAGAGAGAGAGCCAGATAATCTAGCCGAGTGAGTTTTGGCAAGTTCTGAGTTGTTGAGATTGCAATAATCGTTATGGGTGGTAGGTGTGTATACACTCTGTACACCCTGCATATACACAACCCTCTCTTCGAGTACACCCTTCGACCCGCACCCTACGACCTACACAGAGATTTCGCTCGGATGTGAACCATTGCATGCATATACATATTACAAACAAGTACGCTTTCGTGTCACGCGTCTTCGCTAATTAATAATGATTCCAACGCGCCTAAAACTTGACTAAGTACAGTTAATTTAATGCGCGGCTTTGAACCGAAAGCCGGTATATTATTAAGGGCCAATAAAAGGACGAGGAGTCGTCTGTTTGTTGTTGTTGTTGTTCATGCCCTTGTTGTTCGTTCTCGCCTTTACGACTCGCGGAACTTGCCGAGCCACATTTGTTTCGCTCGATCTAACATTTATCTATCTTCTGCTACCTCGTTTAACAAATCGATACTTGTACACGTATATACTTTTTTTTAGTCTTTAATCTCTTTAACGCAACATTATTTATTATCCAATTAAAAGAAAATTATCCAATATAAAACTATTGTATTTTATTATATTAGAAACTACATTTATTATTAATGTTAATAATTTATATTTGAAACGCTATAATTCATTTAAGTCCTTTACATCTTTAGAATCTATTTTATCTTTATATTTTTGTTATAGTAGAGAGGAAACCTATAACCAATGCTTACCTAACCCAACTTTTAATAACCTAACACAACATTGTCATGTCATTATCATGTTTAAAATATAAAAAAAAATGTAAGGGCAAAAAGACTGCGGTTAATAGCCCATAGTATATTGTTATATAATCAATTATTCTACTTTCATTAGTTCCTATCTATAAGTTTCAGAACACATTTTTAATATCAAACTTACTTAATAAATTAATTAAAATTTATTAAAATCTTCATCTTTTATTAGTAGAAACGTATTGCAACTAAAACGATTTTATGAAATGCAAGATTATGAAATTTTCTTAATATAAAAATCTCTCCATAGTATTATTGACGTGGACAATCTTTCTGCCATAAAATTGATAAATTGAATCTAGCGCTGGAATCCGGTAAAAGTGTCTCCGAAACGTAATTCCTTTTTGTGAACAGTTGTTGCGCGGATGTCGGTGATTGGCAATAGTTTTGGAATTAGCGGATCGGAACTGCGAACGAGTAAAATTACTAAAAGCGAGAATTAGCATTTAGATGCCATCGGTGGTTCACTGACTCCAATAACGAGGCTTCGAGCTGTGGATGGTTTCGAGCTAATCAATCCAATATTTGGGTGTTCCGGATTGATATTACTCAATTAATGCGATAAACTGGTTGAATGCTCACTGCGATGCATACGAACTGCTTACGAATTCATGCGGAGGAAAACAGGGAATTTTCGATCGACGCCTAGATTGGACCACTCATTATAAATTGAATATACAATAATTGTACATTTATTTCTTTAAGTAGAATATTTTCAATTATTATTCAGCTGAAGGAAATAAAATTAAAAAAATGATGATATAATCAAATTTTGAGTGAGAAAAATGACAAAGAAAAGACGATTTTGTAAATTAAATTACAAAATTTGATAGAAAAAAAAATTGGCAAAATCCACCCCTACATACACGGTGTACAATTCCAAGAGCAAATATGGTTTTGGAGTTTTAGTTTTTTTTTGTCCTGGTTGTTTTTATTTTTTTGTTTCCGTTGGTTACCCAACAAAAGTTGGTTCCATTAGGGTCTCCACTACATAAATATGTAGTATTTTGCATACACAGCGAACATTGCGTTTATTTACGACATTTCCACTTGGTATTATGCAGTCGCATTCGCTTTACACATCTCGCTCCCATACATACACGCATACACATAAATACGTTCACCATAGATGCATTCGTCTATTCACCTCCAACGACCTACTCGAAACCTGATTGCTGAATGCTGGCGAACGAATTATTCAACATTCGGAATATCCATTCTAATCCGAGCCGCGTATTGCAATCAAATCAATAATTTTATGCTAAACAGGTGACATTAAATTATGCAACCGAACGCTAATTAACTTCGCATTTCGGTCAATGAAAATAATACCCAGAACAGGACTATTTCCAACTACTAACCGCGCTAATTATATTCGACAATCAGCAGCATGAATAGACCAGAATCGCTTACACTCAACTAGATATTCTAAAAAGCTCCGCCAACACAAAACAAAACAAACCACAACCAACCCTAAAAAAAGCACATTTATCATAAAAAAAAATGAACGAAGAGAGGTAATGAATCGACCGCCTATATTTTACTTTTATTTCCGTCGAATGAAGCCATTCCGCTGTCGGCGTGAAAAAATTATGTAACTTTTTTTTTTTCGGTTTTCATTTTACTGGGTATAAAATCAAACGCAGATTGCGCATAATAAAGACCCTCCACCGTTTGGTGGGGTCGTACCACGGCCATTCGCAGTTTATTAATTTATCGAGTCGAAATATCAGAGCAATTTTGGGGGCTGCGCGAAAATAAAACCATCAGTGTAGAAACTGATGACATTGTCGTAGTCGTAATTGGTGTGATTGCAAAGGGTGTTCCGATAGACGTTTGCAGTCGATTCATCATCTATTTTGATAAGCTACTCACCCTCACACAATTTGTTATACCGATTCATTAATCACATTGCGCACGAACATGTTTTTTGCTATTTAAAGCTTTACTGAAAATAATTATGTTTTATGTAACACGTATATGCATTTTGTTACTGATTTAATACACTTCTAATTTTATAATTATGTTCTTGTCTGTATCTAATAATTAATTACATAGTACACATTTGATTTTTGTAATGTTTAAATCTATGCTTAAAATTACATAGTTTTATGATTTTATAACTCATTTGGTGCACTTCCAATTTTACATAATTATTATATATTATTAATTCCTACAAAATTAAAGATTTATACATACAAATTTATAGACAATCTACAATAGTTTTTGTATTTCATTTTTATAGATAATTCATCAAATACTTAAAGAGATTGCAGACTGTTGTTTACTAAATTATAACATATTATAATATTATTTATATTTGAAATTTTAAATAATATTGTTTAATCAATTTCTTAAATCAGTAAAATCGGCTTTTTTGAGCTTTTCAACTTTTAATTAATGACCTCTGAAGACTCTACTTCATTTTTAAACAGCCAGAAATCACAAGGTAGGTCGGTAGAATAAGATGTTGGGAGAATTCCATAGATGACAGAGAGCGCAAGAAAATTGTTGATTCACCTTTTTTCTGGTTACCCATCAAATTTTTTAAAACCTGTGGTAAGCAAATTTCTGTCTACTACTTAGCAGTTACCCTCTGACCAGTTTCGAGTGAAATAGCAACTATCACTTTTGTCCTGGTAAAGTAAATCAACATCACCACTTTTGTTGCTGATTTTTGTTGTCTTGCTTTAACTGGGAGGATTTACACCTTCTGCGCTCCATACCATGGACTGCTACTAGGTTTCCGGGTCGTATTTGTGGAAACAAGATTGATCACCTGTTACGATTTTATTAAAAGTGCTAGAATCTCCATTTTAAAACTTTTCCAAGAAATATTCTGCAAAACAAACACATGCCTTAATTTGTCATCATTTAAAAATCGTGGAACCCATCGATCGGATTTCTTCGTCAAGCTCAGTTCATCAACTACCATTTCCTGTGTCACTCTTGGATCTTCGTCAACCTTCACGAGTTTCGTCCACCACAGTAAAATGTCTGAAATCTTTGACACCACTTGGAAATAGTCACAACGGATGCATTCCAGGAAAAATTTCATAGGCTTGAGTCGAAATCCGAAAGAAATGTTTGCTGTGTTGGTGGTGGAATTTCTACCAACTAATCTTGAATTTTCTCCTATCCATTCTTACCGATCTTCTTGAAATTTGACATGAAATATTTTAACAAGTTGAGATAAAAATAAGGTAAAGTAGTGTATTTTTACCTTCCAATCATTATTATATAATTATACTTATTTTGGATAATTACTTTATTATTAACTTCGTACAAGTTTGTACAAACAAGTGATTAAATATTAATATCCAAAACAGAGCGACTCAAAAAATTGAAGAAAAATTACTATAACATAAAGTTTGTCCTGAGATAGACCAATGTTTTGACTTGAGGCGAAAACCGAAAAATTTTGGGAACCTTTGAGGTAGGGTAGCCTACCCTTCTTAATTTGTAACAGTGGCATTACTGAGTAAGTACTTTACGGTAAATCATAATACAATATGTGAGTAATACTTATTATATAATTTAGAAACACATATATTTGTTTTCATCATCTTTAAACAAACAATTAATTTCCATATTCATAATTTAAAAATGATTAAATTTAAAAAATAATAATTGTATTATATTAAAATTAGGTTAAACTGTAATATTTCAGTGAAAGCTTAGTGTTAGAATGGTTGCCTGAAAAGCTTTGTATTTAAATAACACTATTTTACTCATTTAATTCAATAACAACATATAAACAATAGTTTTTAACATAGTTATTAATAAATTCCATTATTATATTCAACAATAATTGAATATTATTCGATAATAATAAAGTTTGCATATTGTTTGCTTTCAGAGATGAAGCGGTCGATAATACAGTTCTCTGCAGATGTAAACAGCCAGTGTGAAATAAGGTTATGTTCAGTTTTGCAGCAAGGATAAAATAAAGCTTAAATAAACCGTAAGTAATTGTTATTGTTTTCTAATATTAATACTTGACAGCGTCGTCCAGACTTAACTTAATAGACTAACCAATTACATATTTTGATTGTCTTCTAGTGAAAACAAACAAACTATCAACATAAACCTGTTGTTAATCAGCTGTTGTTATTTTGTAGAAGTGAAAACAAAGAAAAACAACATTTTAGAAAAAAAACAAGAATATGTCATCATATGGTTGGCGAAACTCAAAATTTCAATGTGAAACTGCTATTTAATAAACGCGAATGTCAGTTAGGTTTATTTGCGGTTTGGTTTGCATTTGATTCATGTTTACATATGCGTTCACCACAGGGATTTACATATTTGCATTTCTTACAGCCGCAATTATTTTAATTAAATTCACGCAAATTACACACAAAAAAAATATAATGAAAATATAAAGGGGATGGAAAAGTAAGTATAGTAATGAAGTGTGCAACGTGGAATTAATCTCGGAAAACACGTAAAACAAAATGTTGTGTGTAAGCCGGCTTTTTAGATTTGCATGGATTACATACTAACAAATTGAATGCAATTTCTTTTTCTTGCACATTTGCGTGCATCTACAATTATTTTTATAATTAATTATAAACTTGTATACATTAGGTGCCACTACACAGAATGTTCAATGGAACCTTACATGTATTCTAGAACTATATTTAATTATGGATTATCTTTAGGTTATCATTTAGATTACATTTTGTTAAACCATAGCTGATTGAACTTATATTTTGTGTTGACGTAAAATATAACATTTACTTTGTTCGAATCCAAATTCAAGTTCTTAAATGTTAATGAATTATAAAAATGAAATGTGTTTATACTTTGTAGTGTTGGAAGGTTATAAAACAAACAACGTGAATTATGTGTCATATGTGGAGAAGAGCTATAAAGAGTCGTAGAATCGGATGTTATGGACTGGGATTTATTGCAATACAAAAATAAATAACTTTTATTGCTTAAATGGAGTGGACACAAATGATAAAAATTGTATGAACTTATCACGTTTAAGTTATTTAGATAAGTCCAGGCAGAAATAATAAAACCATAACTGACAGAAAAGTATCGGACTTAGTTTGCTGTTGGAATGATAATAGAGGTGTTTGGAATGTTTGTGTGTGTCCGTGACAAGCAAATAGTTTCCGGGCGAGGAGAGAGATTGAAACGGAGAGAACGAAGGAGCATTTGTTAAAAGTCACCCCTACGCAATAAAATCTCCAGTTTTGGCATAGTTACGACTGCACTTCTGGCTACAACATGGCAAGATAGCAAAGAAGAAGAAAAAACGAATATGGGAGGTTAAGGAAAGTGAGAGAAACAGAGAGAGAGGAAGGATGTGGGTTGAGCGAGGACTTGCAGCAGCAGCAGAAGCAGATATATTGGCAACTCGCTGTAATCTGATTATATTTATCCGGACAGCCGCGTCCATATTTAATGGATTTATCGTTCGTTTTGTGTTATTATTGTTTGCCGTTGAAAATATAAACAAGGGACCCGAAATTAATTACCACCATAAACAATAGGCGTCTGCAAAAATAATCATTTCCGATATTATACAGCCATAAAGCGTGCGGGGATCGATCGCCATTTTTCGCTCGCCATTTGCGAAACATTCAATTCGAGCACGGCAACGCAATTTGCGAGTTAATTAAAATAGTTCGGGGTTGGCCCTGCGCGATTGCGAGAAACCATCCAGACCAACCGACCAAACCTTCCCACCCTCCCGGACTGATTGTGAAATTTTAAAAGTTTTTTAATTTCCAATCGCTTTAATATATGTACGTGCTAATTCCCATCAATTGCTTTCCAATTAAACTTTTCTACTTTGCGCTGCTTAGTTCTTGATTTTCGCTTGCTTTTTTTTATATTCTTTCAGTCCTTTGGTTCGCTTAATTAACAAACTGCGCCACTTCATCAAACATTAATATTGACTTGAAGTGACATTTCAAGTTTTCCACCTTGAGAATGTACGGTTCTTTCGTACTAGTAATATAAAAACAAACCGAAATGTGACGTTTTTGTTTTGTTTTCTTGTTTAACATATTGTTGTGTCCCAGGGATGGAATTCTGGACACAGCGGAATATTGTTTGGTGTTGTCAGTTGTTGGGAATTTAATGAAATTCGTTTGCTTTTACATAACTTTATTCGTTACTGGGTTGATTTAAGATTCATCTGAGACTAAACTCATCTCTGTTGATATATATACTAAAAAAAGTTACTTAATCCGAACTATTTTGCAGATGATCGTATTGAAGTTTGCTGCACTAAGTTCAATTAATTAACTTTCAATTGGAATGCAAATAATGGGATGATTACGAGCAAACGGAGTTAATCATATAAAGTTGTTTCCGGTTGCGGCACCTGAGTCTTAATTAATTTAGAAATTGGAGGACGAGCTCACGTTTTTATTTTCTTTCTTTTCTTGATGTTGACTGAAAGCAGCGAAAATGAAGTGAAATTTCGTTACCGGCTCTAATTAATTGGTGTCAAGGCCGACCTTCGTTAAAGCTATCCTACCTTCATATTTTTTTATATGTGTTCTAATCACGCTATTTCTGCTGTAATCTCATAATAATTATTAAGTCTGTATTAATTGACGTATGTATAATTTGGAAATAATTGGTATACTTGAAAAATACTTAATTAAAGAAATGTAACATAAAAGTATTTTTCTACAAGTGAATCTTGGAAATTAATAGAAGTAATTAATATTTAATTCATTTTTTTACGAGCTAAAAAACTCTTTGGAAGTTATAACTAGGGCAATGTAATTGTAAGTTTGTAAGGTAAAGTAATTAATTAAAGAAGATGGTCAAATCTAATGTAAAAACGCATTTGCTAATGTTGAGTGAAAACAGCGAAAGTAAAATGGAATGTCACCAATGTGCTCTAATTAATTGAAGTCTGAAAGCTTCCTTTCTACTTGTGACGAGGATGGTCCTATTTCTGGTCCAGTTATATGTAATGAATAGTATATAATAATAAACATTAATTTATGATTTCCCATGTTGAGTCCTAGATCTCATTAGGAACAAAGCTATATGTATATACCATGTACTATATATAACGTTCTATTGAAAGCGGACAATATTAGTTAAAGTTGCGAAACGTGGAAACAATGGAGCATGAAACGTGCTGGCGACAACTTGATTTTTCCCATTGAATTGCATCGCATGTTTTCAGACGTTGTACGTTTGCAGCGCGAACATTTCTCTAGTTTCCGGTTGCACCTGGGATTTAAACATCCTTCTACCCGTGTATTTCGAGCCGCCCATTGAAAGCCGTGGAGGTGAAGTATTAATTATAGCGGCGCGAGCGATCCTGATCCTGGATGCTGGATGGGTGGCTCCTGCTGCAGCAGTGGCGCGCCACCCTACGCCGCAGGATTGTCTGTCCGTGTTCCGCGCTTCCGGTACGCAATCTGGTGAAGCGGCGGGTCGTGGACCCGTGGATTCGACTTCGCCCCAACGTTAAATTAACTATGCAAACCCGGAGGGGCGAAACGGTTTTCCTAACAATGTTGAGTGGGGAATTTTACAAATTACCGAAACCGGGCTGCAGTTCTTACTGTGGGGACGTAAAACTGCTGGAACTGCAATGGAATTGTATTAAAGATTTACTTAAACTGACGTAAATTTCATAAGCCATTATACGCTGAAACTACAATATGCGAATATTAAACATACTTTTATGCATGTCCCTCCACTTGTCGGGAATTTCCAGCTTCCAGTTTCATTCGCATACAGTTTGTACATGGTCCGAAATGACCAACCTATTCACATCCAAACAATTCACTGGTTAAGAAACCCGAATGTTAACTTGTTTCAGTATATAAAGCATGCAAATCATATCATATTTATAAAAAAAAAAAACAGTTATGTTATAAATTACCATAGAAACACGCACGGCAAATGTTTTGCAACTTTCGTTTTACGCAAGAACAATCATAAAGCTTTCAATTTATTGTTAAACTTTTCATAATCACGCAAATGCAACTGATATTTCGAAATAAAATTACTTTCTAAATATAAATCTGGTAAATTCACATATACACATTTCTACAAATATTGAATGTTGTGTATCTATTTATATATGCAAATTATATTATATATTCTTTATCGTATTGATTTTTATGGTTCAATACAAATGTGTTTGTGTTTTCTCCGCTTGAATATTAAATTTGTTTTAATCTTCTTCTAGGACATTCCACTTATTCTCATCTTTCAGTTCAGCGATGAATTTGAAACGAGAACATCATCATTAGTGGACAATACACAGTGCAAAAATGAATGAAACCATGGATGATGGTAAATTGACAGTTTATTTTCGTAAAGATTAAGTTTGTTATGGATGTTTTTTTTTTTAGAAAAATTAAAAACGGATCAATCTAGAAATGTTTACCTCTTGATTCGCTTCGAGGATGAAGATTGCGGATACCCCGATTTCATCACAATCGGTAAACAAATCAGAGTTAAAGATCTTACATATGAACGAGAAGCGACGATTGTATCGGTATATGGTATGTAATAATAGTATGTAATTAGTTATATAATTGCTAATTGTTTTCAATTTATTTCTAGAGAATTACGATAAGTTGGTTGAGTCAATATCTTATTGTAAAAATAAAGTGATAAAAGAAGAGCTTATGGAAGAAATTTATTACGATTCTCAAGTACATATGGAAACGACTGAAAAAGATGAACAAGAGAGAATTAAGGACAATCAAAACACAAACTTACAGGATGAGGAAATAGAAGAAAGTCAGATAGAACATTCCCAAGTACTTTTAAACAACTGTGATATAGATTCAAAATTTGATATAGAGTACAATGGTGTAAATGTGGATGTGTCTTCACTACTCAAAGTGAAAGATAATTTAGATGAGTCTTCAGAAGTACAAATATCAGATAATGTAGACTCATCTGCAGTAGTCAAAGTGTCAAATAATGTGGATGAGTCTTTATTGGTAAAAGTGAAAGATGAGATTTTTGTCACATTACCACCAAATAATTCGCAAGTCCCCAGAAATATATACAAGTCCATTAATTGGGATAACTACCGTGAAGCTACAGAGGGTCTGCTAAAGAGTCTTTTCAATAAGAGAACCTTAGCAACTCGAACCATGACTGGTATGAAACGTCAGGGGCATCGGTACTGTAATAAATTAGACCCGGAAAAAATTGAGGATATAATTCAATGCGTAACATCCAAGTGCAATACTCAGTCACCTTTAGTAAGACGAGCAATTACCAAGATATGCTATAAAGCTAAACTATCGTGTAAGATTAATTTAAAAACTTTTTATAGAAACAAACAAAAGTTCCATTTAAAAGGCTCAAATTTAATGGTACAATTTCAAGATGATAGCGTACTGTTCGGTCCAAATAAAACTAGAATGTCAAAAGATATTTTCAATTCTATAGATTGGAGTCGTTTTGCTAAGGCGGTTGAATCTATATTATCATGTTTGTACAGCAGCGACGTTCTAGTAACGAATTATTTGAACACCGATAAACGATCGAATCCACCAGAACTGGACCCAAAAAAGGTCGAAGACATACTTTATATTGTAAACAAAAAGAGCGGACGGGATAAGGCTCACATACGATTTGCACTAAGAAAGAAATGGTCTTCATTTTTTCAAGCATCGCCTGGAACGGAACCAGTAACCAAAGATCCAGACATGTCAAGAAATATCTTTATCGGACCAAATAATAGTAAGATGAAGAAGGAGATTTTCGAACTAATCAACTGGCGTGATTACGCTGCAGCCACGAGAAGCCTACACTACGCGCTCATCGGAGGTGGGCAATCCACCACACAAACTAGACGGAGCATAAGTTTTGAAGACATTCCCAGAGAAAACGAATCGGAAACATATGATAAAAAAATAGAGGATATCATTCATATCGTTACAGAAAAATGTGTGGTGACGAAAAATAAAGTAAAGGACGTATTATACAACAATGCAGCAGGAAGACCATCCAGGAAAATACAGAAGAAAAGATATTGATTATATTTTGTATCTGTGTATATATAAATAGTATTATTTATTTAAAAGAAACTTTAATAACTGTTTAAATAATTAAAATATAGTTTTTTGTTTTTATTTTCACCGAGTTATAATTTTAGAAGTAAAAACGTTAATTAAAGAATCTCAAAAAAAAGAAGGTTTGCTTGATTTTGAGATGCTCCCATTTGTCGGAAGTTAATAACTTAGTAAAACCTGACCGCACCCTGTATACGTTGCAACTTACGTAAACTGTAAGTAAGAGGAAAGTTTCAGGAACTTTGGGATTATCACGTTTCCTTAAATAATAGAGAAAGTTAAACGTCGGGTTTATTATTAATTCAGTCGGTAAATGAGGCTGCTTTGGCGTAACAGGGATTTAATTTTTTTTAAATAAATAATTGACTAGTCCATTTGATTAATAATTTACTGCAATATTTAAGTTGAGGACAGAAGACTGTGTAATAGATAAGTTGTTTCATTTTGTATGGCTTAATGGGAGGGAGACAGTGCACGAAGTTGGAGCATGGATTCAGGTTGGTTTGGCAATAAAAACTTGTGTGTGAGCTGGATGATGGAGAAATGGCGAAAGGGGTTGTGAATGTTCGTGTAAGCCGTTGGCATTAATTAAACAATTACATGTAGTAATTGTGAGGGTAGGCACATGGAAAATAGGATGGCATTAAAGTTTTATGCTTAATATCGCAATGCTTCCTAATACACCTAACTCTTCTGATATTAGGACCTAATTGGCTGCAAGCTCGACGCCGAATTCGGTAATTGCGTAACCGCAGAGCAATTTGCAGCATGTTCCACCTTACCTGGGAAACTTAATAACCCACGCATTTTTCGCGAACAATTTCTCTATTGCATTAAGTATTCATCGCGTCCGCAATTTTCCCTCATTCCATTCCTTTTTTTTTTAGAATTTCCACAAACGGCTCAGTTCTTTTGTGCCTCCGGTTTGTTTCAACTTTATTCCACCGAAAACAAAGCTCATCATGTCAGTCCTAATTCGGACACCACCCCTCATAACGCATTCAGTGTGTCGGACCACCTCCATCCTCTTCCTCCTGCTCAACGCCGCTCTACTTCCGGTGGGCATTTTAAACAGATTCCGTGCGAAATTAGATGAAACCGCTGCATGCACAATACACACGACTCGGTGGTTTCAATGTAATATTTCGAATGTGATGGAGATAAACCGCAAGTTTAGATTTACTGCCGCAACTAGTCTGGATCGCAATAAAATACGAAACGACCAAACGGACACACGATGGGGAAACGGGGGGCGGCGAGAGTTTAAAAACTCCTCGAGATAATCATAAAATATACTGCATGTACAATATATATGTATTTATATGAAAGTTTCTCCTATAATTCTGCAACTATTTATTTTTCTTGCTGGCTCAGACACCCTAATTTCGGTCGGTTGCGTGTCCAACTCGGGAACAAATCAAACTTTATTACAGCCCCCTCCAGGCCATTACTTTTTTTTCTCTCTTTACTTCCGCTGGTCTCAGGAAGACCAGGAACTGGATAAAAGTATAGCCAGATGAATGAATGGCCACATCTTATATCCTCTTTCACCTAACTCTAATTTATACAAGCACTATCTTACCTACCTTAAATCATATGATAAGTAACAATTTAATTTACGGACCATAAGACGTGTAGAGAAATTGACTTAGAATTGTATTTTTTTTGTTACTATTATTCCTCTAGTATTAAAACAAATTCAAAAAAGTAAAATTGATTGAAATCAGGATGTTATAATAATTAAAATAAAAATCTAAATTTTAAATACCTATGTTGCGAGCACTTTTCAATAAATTCAATGAGATTTTAAATCAGAGGATCGTCCGGAAATGTTCAAAGCGTCAACATTGAATGCAAAATGAAATATTTAATTAAGTTTTCAATTTAATTGTGTTTGAAGGAGTCATTGTTTGTTTCCTTGGATCCATTTCCATAATACAGCGTAGGGAGACAGAAGCAAAGAGAGAGAATGAACAGACTTTTTATCGGCAAAGGTGGGCGCGCACGTTCGCGAAGACAATATTTTATATTTAAATTCTGAATTTATGGCGAAAGGTGGGTAATATAAAATATCGTAATAACACACATATGTGCACACCTTTTACCACCGAGTGCCGCATGCAATCTAGATATTAAAACGCTAAAAAAAAATATGTGTTATAATCTGTTATTCTGTAAAATAACTATTTCTTAGTGGCAAAGTGTAAAATCCAGTATATTACAAAATTCCATTAGGCATTATCTTTATTGCATCGTGGCTAAGTATACAAAAATAGTGAATTAGGTATTATATAATTGTTATAATTATTTTCTTTGAATAAAATGCACAATAATATATATTTTTTTTATAAATTTTACATCGAGAAACATTATTTCATGAAATATGTAGTTATTATATTGAATATCGAAATGTAATAAAATAATAGTATAGAAAAGGAAAGCACAGACGGATATTTTGTGGATGAAATAGATTGGTTGCGAATGAAGTAAGCCTTGATTCATTTAGAGGTGGCAATCTTCGCGTTTATTTGCCGCAGCGGAATTACAGTTTTGCAGGTCCTTTTTTTATCAAATGTTTCGGGCGTCTGGATTAAAGGGCGCAACACCTTGATGAGCAGTTCCACTTTAACGATGCGGGCCTTCTCGATCGACAATTAGTATCGGTTTCTCTTAGTCTGCACACCCAATCAAGTCGGGGACTCCTCCCTTTGTTTCCCGCACCTTCAGCACCCCAGTTGCATCCAGATCGGAATTTATATGCTGATGTGTTTCATTCGGTTTCTATTAGGAAGCTGCGGATCAGGGGAGGACTCCTCCTGCCTACACCCGCTCTATTACTCTCTCTCTCTCTCTCACAAACACATACACCTATTCGCAGCTTCATTTTCCACCCTTATTGATTTACGTGCATCGAGAGTTCAACTAGGAAACTGGAATCAATTAGAACCGGGATAGAGGATTGCGAGGGTGGGTTTATAAAAATTGCCTTTCCGTCTTTGGATTGGTAATTAGGGGATTCCCCGGCGGCGCGCGTATTATTACCGGCTTTGTTTGCATCCTCCGACTCGGCTGCATGAATATGTAAGAGACTACTTCATATTGCGCACCCGGATTTTGATCTTATTGTGTTTGTATGTGCATGTATTTGTATTCGTATGTGTACGGATCTGAATGTTAGGGTAGGTGTATATAGGTGAGTACGGGTTGTTATTTAGTCATCGCAATCAACAACTATCTCCATCGCAGTATGGGATGGCGGAGTATGAGAAGGAAGAGACCATTATCTTGTCTCTATGATCGGCGCATTGTTGGCGCACTCATCAATGCTAATGAAAATACATTCGGCGAGGAAGTTAATACTACCACCTCGGTACCATCCCTTCTGTTATCTATCCGCGCGATTCAAATTGGAGTCACTCGTTGTATAGCTCACATCATAAATATACATAGGCACATTGCTAAAACCAACACCTTGCTGCCCCATTAAAACAATAGCGATAGGGAAATTTATCGCGGATGGATGCATAATTGCATAAAACAACCGAAATCAATCGATTTCGGCTGCTGCGTGTTGCCGAAGCCCGCGGCGGATTTGTAATATAGTAATGCATGCAATCGCTGTGATTGTAGCAGCGGTAAGGGGGTAAATCGATCGGAATTAAATAGGTTATGGAAATGAGGGTGGAAACGACCACCCTCCACATCCACGACGCATCTCGTAGTCCTCACGGATTAGACGGCAATCGGGCAAGTCGACGTGACCGTCCGATACTGATACAAAACCCTCAAACAGCCCCCAAACCGAATTAGTCCAGAAAATTGATTCCGCCTATGGAAAGTACACCGAACTCTCGCTGTTTCATCCCTCCATTACATTATACTACACCCTACTTGAATTGCATTAAACATCGCAGTTTGATGGCAACAACCTTTCCCTTCTCGCAATCTTCCAACCCTTGGATATGTCACTCACAATACGTAATTCCACCTTATTTTTATTTATTCATTCTCAATTCCACAACTCAAAATTTATACCGATATATGACACCAATACAAATTTCATAAACAAGAATAAAAATTACTAGATTACCAGTGAATTTCGATAAATATACAAAGTAAATTAGAAACACCCATATTTTACACCTAAAGTTATATCATCATGAAAAATAAACTGCGAATGATAATTAATCGAACAAAAACACCAAGTGTTAAATAAATGATCATGCATTTTCTCTAACTTTTAGATTATTTTGTTTACTAAGAGAAATACACGTAAATAATTCACAAGTAATAGTAATGAAACTTTAAAATTACGATGAAATGGTAGAAGATGTGATGACGGAACACGCCAGGATATATTATTTATCACACTGAGGAGGTGCACATATGCACAGCCGTCACTCTGAACCGCTGCATTTCCCATTACTGCTGCTCATTCCTCAGGCTTTCACCTAAGGATTCGAAAGCAGTCGCAATTTCTTTGTCGAAAATCTTCAAACAAGGTTGCTCCTCAATATTGCACGCAGATTTGCATAACTAAATTGCGTTCCTGCAGGGCTCTACAGCTTACCATACCTTTACGCAGTAAAATCATCTCTAGTTAAGCAATTCAAATTACACACATACACTAATACAGTGTAGAGAAATACAAGTTTAAAAAAATAAGTAGTGAATAAGTTTTATTAAAAAAAATAAAGTTTGATATAGATGTTATTGAATTGTAGTAAAACAAATTTAGTAAACATTGACAATAACATAGTGATTTGTAAATTAAATTTCCTTTTGTTCTCTTAATTAAATTACCATTTTCAAATATGTTACATTAAAAAAAAACTGTTTCAATCAAAATTTTAATCACTATTACGGTTTGGACTAAATCCTGGCTGTAAAATAGACAATAGCCGAAATGAGGATCAGGATGGTGAATGGGTTAAGAGAAGGATTGCAATAACGAGACCTAATACTTTTGTTCCTTTGTGCCATGTGA